ATGTAAAACTTAAATGATGTAAAATAGGCCTTTTGATCAATAAATTATCAATAACTTTTGATGAATCAATTACAATTCTTTGCCTTTTTTTATAAAAAATTTATAAGCTTGTAACGGTTCAAGTTTTTAAAATTAAAAGTTTTACAATATATAATTGAGAGTAAAAAGGTGTTATTTTAAACTTGAGTCGTTTAATTATGTTTAGCAAAAAAAGGAATGAAGCATCCTACTCCTCTTCTCATTACCAAACAAACAAGTAAAAGAGGGGATGAATGTGATTCGTTTTGATCCATTTAGTTGAATCACATAACTTGTCATTATCATCACTATTTCATTTCATTGTGAGTAATTCATGTTTAATTGTACTTTCATTTTTTTTTATTTTCATTTATCAAAAAACAAAGAATATTTTTGATTTTTCATATTTTAAAAACAAAAACACAACAATATAGTCTAGACAACAGAATTGTTTGGTGTAGATAATATCAGTTAATTATAGTTGTTTATTTTATTTTGGAGTTTCTATTTTAATACAATTTATGTTTAGAATAGTAGATCCCTCCTACAAATTTTTAACCACACTCAGAAACAATCAATAATTTCCAAATTCGGTTTTCTCACCAACCAAACAAAAGTGTAGACAAATTACAAATTAGATCAGTAAAATTGAAGATGATGCTCCGATCTTTGACTAAATCAGACAAAAGAGATACAAATCAAAGACATATATGATATACAAAATTGAAATTTGTAAGAAAAACAAACTCGCATTCACGGCGAAGATTGGCGTCATCGTCATCGTTGACGGTGATGATCGGCGTCATTGCGTCGTCGTCGTCGTCGTTGACAGTGAAGATCAGCGTCATCGTCGTCGTTGCGGTGCTGATGGATGAAAGCAAAACGAAGCTCTGTTTTTTTTTCTTTTAACAGGGTAGGCAAAGTGATGATGAATGAGCCAATAAGGGTGTGTTTGTTTGAAGGATTAGGGTGTGGGATTGGATTATTAATCCCACCGGACCAATAGTCCATTGTTTGATTCATTTTTTTTGCTCCGGACTAATACTCCCCCCAGACTACTAGTCCCATATTTGTGGGACTATCCTATCCCATGGGGGGTGGGATTGTTTCCATGAGATTGGTATCCCATTGGATTAGGCTCTGAAATGTCTATTTTACCTCATGCTATTACTTAGCAAACAATTAGAAAATTGTAAAATAGTCTTTTGAATATTTATAAATTATTTTTTTAGTGTCATTAATTTAAAATTATATATAAAATAAAAAATTTAAATTATAAATTATAAATTTAATTTAATTAAAAATAATAAATTATAAATTATGGCCTTATAAATTAAATTTTTTTAGTGTTGTTAAAAAATTAAATTTACATATTAAATTAAATTATTTTTTTAGTGTTGTTAATTTAAAATTATATATCAAATAAAAAAATATAAATTATAAATTTAATTTAATTAAAAATAATAAATTATAAATTATGGCCTTATAAATTAAAAATTTTTAGGCCAAGTTTGGCTACTACAAAATAATCCATCTTTTTATCTTTTTTTCATCACATCACCTCTCTACTTTTCTGCACATCTTTTCATAAAAAGACAAAAAGA